GTTCTCAGTTCCTTCCTGTTTTGTCCTCTTTATGGAGGACACATTCTGAATTGCATTTGACTGCTAAGTGGGTAGAATGAGGCAGGCACAAAGCTTTTGAGAAATCACAAATCACAGATTATGTGAGAACACTGGGCCTAGGGAGTTTGACGGATTTACCCAGTCATATAGCTGATGGCAGGCTTAAGTCCCCAGGTCTTCTTTGCAATAACTTCTACTTCCTTGACAGATTCTTCCATTCTTGGGTAATTCTTAGCCTTCTGTTAAGGCTGAGGTCAATTTCTCAGGGACAGCCAAGACATTTTACTTAGATGTGGCCAAATCCATAGCAACTCACTTATGTACAACACTGGTTATATGCCAGACGCTATGCTAAGAACTTTTATACACATTATCTCTTTTACCCTTCACAAGCACTCTGTAGAAAGAGACTCCATTAATGCACCACTCTACAAATGAGAAAATGAGAAGCACAGAGGCCAGGTAACTTGTTCAAGGTCACATATGTAAGGAAGTGGTTAAGCCAGAAACTAAGTCTATCAGATTCGAAAGCCCATGCATGCAGCAAGCCACTTTACTATACTGCCTCTCCACACAAACAAGAAAAACCCAAAGAGAATGAAAATCCACGTTATTATTTTAAATGTTTTTTTTTAATTTTTATTTATTTATGATAGTCAGAGAGAGAGAGAGAGAGAGAGAGAGAGAGAGAGGCAGAGACACAGGCAGAGGGAGAAGCAGGCTCCATGCAGGGAGCCCGACGTGGGATTCGATCCCGGGTCTCCAGGATCGCGCCCTGGGCCAAAGGCAGGCGCCAAACCGCTGCGCCACCCAGGGATCCCCACGTTATTATGTTAAAACGAGCACACTGTCATGTCTTTTTTTAAAAGATAGTTACATACAAACGATGGCAATGTGAAGTGTTTCTTTTTTTTTTTTAATTTTTATTTATTTATGATAGGCACACAGTGAGAGAGAGAGAGTCAGAGACATAGGCAGAGGGGGAAACAGGTTCCATGCACCAGGAGCCCGACGTGGGATTCGATCCCGGGTCCCCAGGATCGCGCCCTGGGCCAAAGGCAGGCGCTAAACCGCTGCGCCACCCAGGGATCCCAATGTGAAGTGTTTCTGAAATAAGAATTTAAATTTGGGGAATGCAAATCTTGGGAACTCAGTACTTTAGGATGAGTCTAAGGATGGTCATGGTGGTTTTCCATAAACAAACCCTTTCTGGGTACCTGGGTGATTCAGTGGTTGAGCGTCTGCCTTCTGCTTAGGTCATGATTCTGGGGTTCTGGGGTCGAGTCCCAGATCGGGCTCCTGGTGAGGAGCCTGCTTCTCCCTCTGCCTCCCTCTGTTTCTGCCTCTTTCTCTGTGTGTCTCATAAATAAATAAATAAATAAATTTTTTTTAAAAAAAAGAACCTTTTCTGCAAGTAAAATATCAAATGATGTGTAAGACACCTGTGTAAATTATTTTTTAAAGATTTTATTTATTTATTCATGAGAGACAGAGAGAGAGAGAGAGGCAGAGACATAGGCAGAGAGAGAAGCAGGCTCCATGCAGGGAGCCCTATGTGGGATTCGATCCCAGGTCTCCAGGATCATACCCTGGGTCAAAGGCAGGCGCTCAACTGCTGAGCCACCCACGGGTCCTGTAAATTATTTTGCACAAGTATTAGTTACTACTGTTTGTAAAATCCTATTAAGAAATTGTTGCCAACAACAGCTAGCACTGAGGAGCTGAACCAGTTCTTTGGTCATGTCAGTGATGTTCTTGTGGCTGACAGGATATTTATTCCCAGAGGTAACTGTTATAAATTGCATTTTACCTCTTCAGTTGCTACAAGCTTATGATGGTGAGTGGGCGGAGAGGACAACCTGTAATTCAGGATGGTTTGGAAGCTGGTTGCCTTGGAAACTGGAAAAAAGCAGCATAATGCCCACCAAAACCAACTGTCAATAAGAGAAAAGATTTTATTTTATTTTTTTATCTGTGTTGCTTTCCAAGTCACATATTTTGTGGCTTTTGCCAGTCTGATTAGGACCATTGGTCCTTGGTGGGCGGTGCATGCCAAAATAGGCCAAATGTTAGTCAGGGAGGACGGGAAATTCTTCATAAACACTGTGCTGACCGAATACTAGGGGGAAGGGAATGGTCGTGTAGTTAAAATGAGTTTATATAATGACAAAGTTATCAACATGTGAATATTTCATACAATGTGACATGCAGGCAATTCTTAATCGTAGTTTATCTAAACCTACATTTATAGCAGCAAAACTCACTTTTTTTTAAACTCACTTTTTTTTAACATAAAAATTTTATTCACTGTGATCCACTCTTCGCTGTTCTTATGCTACTGACACCAGAAGTTTTGACTTATAGTAGAGTAGTTATTTTCAAGGGTAGCACTTGGAAGTTCACAGAAATCAGATTTTTGTGTATTTCTTAATTGTGTAATTTCGTAATCCTTTTAAAATATACATATTTAATTTTTTATTACTAAACGTATCACACATGTACACATATATATTTTATAGGTTTGTATATGTGTGTGCCATGTTTTTTAGTGAATCATATGAATTTGCTAATTTTAGACTGTTAAAATTACAAAAATGACAATTTTATATATTTTAACATACAAGTAAATAGCAGAGATTCCAGAATACATTTTTTCCTTCTCCTTCTTTGCTGGGGTCCCCATTACCTCTTTTCTCATCTCCACTTCACCCTATTCTGTACCAGTCCTACCCTACACTTCCCATGTATCCTTACCTTATTCTTGCTTCACAGACAACTCACATTAACAACCTGGTATGTAGCTCTCTGCTCACAGAATCATGAACAGATGTAAATATGTCTGTGCATCTATATATGTGTTAGTGACAAACTCATGGTGCAAAATCACAAACTTGCAGATTATTTTTTCCTGTTGAGATCTATAACTAAATGTTCTCTTCCCTGCATTTGAATATCACTTATCTTCTCTTCTTTGCATTTATTATTCTTAATGGATTTCAGCCTAATTTTAAGTAGTTTCTTCACCCTTTTACATTCATTCACTTGAATTCTATTTCTCTGATATGTGCTAGGAACAATACACAAATTATTCAAGCTGCAAAGTGTGGCAGCGTGTTACACAGAAGGATTAGTAATTCTTTTCCGGTTTCCTATTTTGTATCCCTAGAATAACCTATTATTTTCAAAAGTTAAGAGTAAGGATATATGAGAAGGAAATATTTTGGATTATTCTAGTAATTCTAGACTCAGAATTTCTCCTGCAAGGGAAAACAGCCTCCCAGAGCCATTTCTTTGGTTTTCATCTCTCAGAACCAAGTTAATGATTGCTTAGGCAATGGAGTCATATGGAAAGACCTTAGAATTTATGTTATGGGTGAAACTGTTTGAAATCTTGAAGATGAGTCACAGCTTCACTGCAGATGTGATAGGACACATAAGGCTCTCAGTGTCCGCCAAAAGTGACTTCTCCTCTCACTGCTACTGAAATTGCCATTGAATCCCATTTTCTTCTTCAGAGAAAATTTATCTTATTAGGCCATGATGGCAGACTTCTGCTTAGTGTTGAGGGCAACTGGGTTATTCCAAGACTATACTACTGTGTCTGAGTTTCCTCACTAGGAAGTGAGTGTTGACAGAAGGAGAAGGAAATGAGGACTCAGTGGTTTGAGATTTATGGCCTCTTCCCCAGTCTGCAAGCACTCCTACTCCTCACATGCATCTGTACAGGTCTCGGATGCTCTTCAGTCTCCCCACAAGTGCCTATCAGAAAGGGCTGCTGCCTTCAGGCTATAGTCCCTTCTCTCTCTCTTTTTTTAAAAGATTGATGATGATTGATTGATTGATTGATTCATGGGAGACACACACACACAGAGAGAGAGGGAGAGAGAGGCAGAGACACAGGCAGAGGGAGAAGCAGGCCCCATGCAAGGAGCCCGGTGCGGGACCCCATCCCGGGTCTCCAGGATCACGCCCTGGGCCGAAGGCAGGCACCAAACCTCTGAGCCACCCAGGGATCCCCTCCTTCTCTTATTTGGAAAGGAACATGCTTTAAAATGCAGTAAGATGTGAATTCCTAGGAGTTTGGGGGTTGAAGGTCCCTTGGGATCAACTCAGAAGATGCCATTCCTGAGTTGTGACTTGTTTGCCTGACAGGGTTTCCTTGGATGAGACTTTTATCCTCAGCAGTGGATACCCTAGCCAGGGGGAGTACTGATCCTTCCAGGCCTTGTGGGTGTGATTGAGGGCTGTAATTTATTTAGCAGCTGAGTCTGCCCTTTCCCTGCCTGTCAAAAGGGCTTCAAAGCGGCCACACCAGGAACTGTTTCAGATTACAGACTTCAGCAACTAATGACCCATGTCCTCCCTTCAGTAGTGAAATCCCAAAATGGTCCTAGGAGAGGAGAAATAAATCCTGACAGCTGCTTAGAGGTCATCTTATAACTAAGTCTCCAGAGAAATGTTTTTAGGTTGAGAAAGAGTTCCACGCCACCCAAAAGGAAAAGAAAAGAAAGGAAAAACATGAGGCCAGTGCCCAGAAGGGTGTCTGCAGCTCATCCAGGTGTGCTCTGAAGACCAAACCTCTACATCAGCATTTAACAGGAAACTCTTGAGCTTCTCTACCTCTCAGGAAGCACAGTGGAATCAGATAACATGGGAAGCACACACACACACACACACACACGCACACACACACACACACGCTTCACCTGGTCCTTCCTGCAGGTCTCTGTAGGAAAGGAGTTTCTGTGGGTGAGAAAATGAGACCAGGTGATAGTCCAAGGAGGCTGTAATTTTAGAAGACCTACCAAGAACATTATGTAGGAGGCTTGGTATTCTAAATCCCGGAAGCCTTTTTACTTTTTTCTTTGGAAAGTATGTGAATGATTGTAATGCTGCTTTGCTTCCCAAACTGGGCAGTGAGGTAAGGAGCAGCAGCCTCTGCCACAACAAACAACAGCAAAGCTGTCATCCTGACCACCATGGAGTTTCTTGAAAGAACTTACCTTGTGAATGACAGAGCCACCAAGATGTATGCCTTCAACCTAGACAGGTAACAGACATCAGTTTCTGCCTCACAATTTTCTATCTTGACTATTTAATAAATCCTCAGACCCTATTGCTTCAAAACTGGAAACTTTCACTCTCCAGCTCAGGGGCAGTTTGTAAAATTTGATAAACTGTTGACTGATCTGTATGATTTGCATCCTGAAAAATGCAGATTTGGTTCCTTAAATGCACAAAATATACATTTTATTAATATATTTTTCACCTGTAGTTTATCTTCCAGGAAATAGGTACATGTGATCGAATGTGTTTACCTTTCTTTTCCTCAATTATTCTCATTCTTAAAGTTCTAAGCAAATTTTAGTAAATTATAGTTAGAAAAAAAATTAAGGCTTTTCAACTATGTGACAGAATTGTGGCTACATTGTTCTTTAAACTAACTGCTGTTTTCTTAATCATAAAATGCCATAATCAAATGTACACAAGTATAATGAATATAGCTGAGTTTAATGCACTACAGAATTCTAGTTCCATTTAATATCTCCACGGTACCACATACAGTATATTCATTTATCCTCCCTTATCGAACTACTATTAGATTGAATACACCTGGATATATAACAGGAAGAAAACATTTCTGCTCTCAGATCTCTGTCCTCTTGCAACCTTTAGTCTAATGTGGAACGCTCATAGGAAATAGGCAATTATAAAATAGCATAGAAGTGTCATCCTGGGGGTGTTTAATGAGAAAATCTCAAAGGAACCTAGGTCTTAGCTGGACTTTAAGGGTCACAGAAAGCACTTAAGAAATGGTAGAATAAGAATTGAAAAATGAAAAGGAGTTAGAGAAAGGTTAGGGAAACTCCGTATAGAAAATAGGATTAGGGGATATTTTTCAGACTGAGATAATTGCCTGGTAAAAACAGAGACATGTAAGAATAAGAGTGGGTGTATTTGGAGAGTTCGAGCTGAATGAAGAGCAAAGAGAAACATGCAGAGTACATACAGATGAATGAATAGAAATCTGAAATGAATTCATGATAGGAGGAGAGCTCAAGAGAATACATATAATTAATGATATGTGTAATGTCTGTGTTTGTTTCATGGAACCAAATTCATATTCTAAAGAGTAGCAAATTTGTGCTTGATAGCATTAAATGTCTAAACAGCTGTAAAGGGACTTCTTTATAGTTTTGCCTTAAAAATATTTGGTAGAATCTAGCACATCTATTATCTCATATTATAAGAGTTATTTTTCTTAGAAAATAATATTAGGTGTGATTTATTAAGACCATAAATAATAAATCCTCATGTTAGGTCAGGCAGAAATTTTAGACAATGAATTGTTAATACTCTGGACACTATTAAAAGAGCATCTCTACATTATTAAAATAACACTATCTCCCTTCTCATTAAAATAGAACACTGGCACTCTGTTACACAAAGTGTGACAGTTATAGTTACATTATACATTTATAAATTTATAGTTACAGGTTCTCTTTCACTTCCTAAACGGGTATGGATTTCAGGATATGGTGATGATAGAAGCTGTCAAACTCATTTTTATTTTCTTTTCATATAATAACAGTTGAACTTGGGAGAAATGATTTATGCTGATCCATCATTTTGCCAGTTAGGAACCTGAATGCCAAAGAGAACAAGTTCAGATGTCTAATTATGACAGAGTTGGGGTCTGAACACACACCTCCTGTTTGTCAATTTAGTGTCTGCTTCCTCCTCCTTCACCTCTCCTGCACCTACACTTTAACCTTGTGGCCTCCTGAATCTTTAATCTATTTCTTCCTGAGGTCACATGAACCTTGACTTCTTCACTTATTCACTTCCTTTTGTCAAGTTCCCCAACCTCGTTTCTCATATATTTTCTTCCATCTCTATTTCCCAGACAACTTATTCCTCAGATAGTCCTTCTCTTTTCTCCTTTCTTCTCTCTTTTCTACTTATAATCAGCTTTCCATTTAAATTGTTGCCAGCATTGAGAAACTTAATCTGAAAGAATATTTTCTCTCTAATTCCACAAAAGGAGTGATTCATTTATCTATGGCTGGGCTACAAACCAGTCCCAGAATGTAGTAGCTTAAATAATAATCATTGTGTTATTCACAATTCTGTGGGTTAGCGGGGTTTGCTCATGGAGCTGCGTTCTGCTGGTGTCTGTGCTCTGCCAAAAGTTCCCAGATGGCTTTATTCACCTGTCTGGGGGTTTTGTACCAGCTTTTGGTTAGTCTTCATTCTCTTTCCTATGGCCTCAAATATTTCCCCCCTATAAAGGAGTCTGCTGTGGATTGAATATTTGTGTCCCCCCCCCCACTCAAATTCACATCTTGAAGCCCAAACTCCCATGTGACTGTGCTGATAGGACCTTTCAAAAGGTGATTAAGGTTAAATGAAGTCTCCAGGATGGAGCCCTGATATGGTAGAAGTGATATCCTCATAAAAGAGGGAGAGACACCAGAGATCCCTCTCCACAATGTGAGGTTATAGCAAGGCAGCCATCTGTATGTAGGCCAGGAAGAGAGCATTTGCCAGAAACCGAATTTTTCAGCACCTTAATCATGGATTTTCAGCCTCCAGAACCACGAGAAAATAAATCGATAACAGAAGTTGCACATGTAGTGGACATCAGAGGAAATAGATTCCACTTAATTAGATAAGCCATTCCTAAACACATAAAAGAGCATACAAGTAAATGTCAGCAACATTGGGCCCATAGGGGATCAGTATCCAGAATTGCTAGAGTTTACTATTACAAAATCTGCAAAGAAACAACAAAAAACAACCCATGCATAGTAAAAAGAGCAGGGAATAGAAACTGCCTTTAAAAGAGCCCAGATGTTGGACTTTGTTCAAAGTAGTCATTATAAATGTGATTAAAGAACTAAATGATATCATGCTTAAAAAATTAAAAAGAGGTATAATGGCAGTGTGTCATCAAACAGATAATATCAATAAAAAGATAGAAATCATATAGAAAAGAACCAAATGGAAATTCTGAAGTTGAAAGTGGAATAAGTAGAATAAAAAATTTGTTAAAAGGACGCAGTAGTAGATGATGAACTGACAGAATAATCAGTGAACTTGAAGACAGATCAACAGGTACGCAACATAATGAACAAAGAGAGAAAAAAAAAGGAGTACAAAATAACAGAACCTCAGGTAAAATGTAGCACATCCTTAAATGCCCTAACACATTCATGATGGGAGTACCAGGAGAAGAGAAAAAGGAGGAGAGAAATATTTAAGGAAATAATGTCTAGAATTTTCCAAAATTTGGTGACAATATTAATCTATACATCCACAATGGTCAACAGATGCTACGAAGAATCAAGGAAAATGGATCTACACTCTTATATGTCATAGTGAAAATACTAAAAACAAAACACACAGAAAAAGTCTTAAAAGCAGCAAGAGAGGAAAAAAAGGTAAATTAGTGGCTGTCTGGGGTAGAGTTGTATGCAAGGAGATTGAGGATTTGCTGCTAATGGGTACAAGGCTCCTTTTTTGGGCTGACAGAAATGTTCTAAGTTAGATTGTGGTAATGGTTGCACAACTCTGCAAATATGCTAAAACCCATTAAATTGTATACATTAAATGGGTCACTTGTGTGGCATATGGATTATATATATATAGGTTGATAAAGCTGTTTTAAAAAGGAGAGAGTAATTGGACACCTGTTCTAGGATGAGAAATTACATCTGATTCTGCTAACATTTCTATTCTCCACTCCCTCTAGCTCTCTCCCCTCAAAACACTTCTTCACATCACTCATTTATTTCACAAACATTTAATCAAGCATAATCTCAACAGATGTGTACTGAATATCTACTGTGTTCAAGATGAAGTTCCAGGCACTGAATGCACAGGAGTCTTTCTAGTGCAGATGGAGGAAAGTGGTTAAGAGGGTGAAACGGGCCAGGAACTGCTAAGGGATGTATGAATGTTTTCTCCCTCTTTGATACTTATCCTGTCCTTAGGAATAGAGGCTCAATTCCCAGGGTTAATTCATACAAAACTGATGCCTTATTGTCACTCGAGTAGAATCTAGAATAATGGATATGGACAAAGGGGAAACAAAAGAAAAGCTTGCTTTTTGTATATTCAAGCTCTCACATAAAATTGCTTAACCTAAAGTTATTTCTCTTTAAAATTTTTTTTCTTAAAGTTGCCTATTTCTTTTTTTAAAGATTTTATTTATTTATTTATTTGCTTGTTGTTTATTTATTTATATTTATTTATTTATTTTGAGAGAGTGAGTGAGAGGGAGAGGGAGAGAGAATCTGGAGCAAATTCCGCACGGAGTACAAAGCTCCATTGGGACTTGAGTGGTCCCAAGACCACAAGATCATGACCTGAGTGGAAACCAAGAGGCTGACACCAAGAGTACCACACCTAACCAACTGAGCCACCTAGGCACCCCTAGCCTAAAGTTATTTCACACTACAACTTACTTTATAGTTTCTGAAGAACAGTGATAATCATGTAATGTGAAAATGGTAGACTAATGTAAAAATCCACACTTTTTGTGCATTTATCTTGTTCCAAACACAACTCTGAAGTATTTATATGAATTAGCTAAAATCTCAGAGTGACCCTGTGAGAGAGATGTTATCATTATCCCTTTTTGCTGATGAGGAAATTGAGGCACAGAGAAGTTATTTTCTTAGAGTCATATGATTAGTGAGTGGTAAAGCTGGGAGTTGGCTTAGCAATGGGATGTCAAAGCCCAAAGTCTCAGCTTCCTCCCAGTACTGTCATCCACTCAGCCTATCTCAGAAACTGGTATGCCCTTCGCCTAGCTGTTGTAACCAGAAATCCATGAGCCATCTTCCAGTCCCACCCTTCCCCCATTCAACCTTAAATAATGCTATTGGTTAGTAAGTCCCATTGATTGTACCTTCCAAACATCCCTCTTTATGACTGCTTCTTCCCATTTTCCTTCTCATGGCACTGGTCCAAATTGCCAGTATCTCTGCTCCAGCCACCTCCTAAATGGTCTCCATGTTTTGTCTCTTTATATTCAAGCCTTCTAAGCATCACCAGAAGTGATCATTTTAGAAATGTGAACCACATAATGTTTCCTGGTCAAAACTTTCCAACTGCATCCCTGCAGACTTTGAAGAAAAGAAGACCCTTTTTAATGGTTCACAGAGTTCTGCATGATTTAATTTCTGCCTACTTCTCTGACGTCATCCAATGTCACTCTTCATCTCAGTGGCCACCTATGTAGTTCCCTTTCTGTCCAGGCAAGCTTTTGAACAAGACAAGCTCTTTCTTGCCTCTGTGCCTTTGCACCAGCAATACCCTCCACTCGTGATGTTTCTCTTCCACTCCTGGTTATCCTTTAATTCATTGAGGAGATATCTCTACAGAGGTGCCTCCTATTACGGCTCTATTTAAAGTAGCCCCAGCTTCTCTTGCCCAGTCACTGACCACATAGCCTCTGTGCCTATCAGCTGGCTTACTTTTGTCTGCCTCTGCTTAAGATACAAGCTTCTAAGGTCAGGAACTTAGTCTCAAGGACCATGGTATCAATTAGCATCTTTGTTAGTGCAGGCACATTGCAGGCATGCAGTACATATTTGTCGAATGAATGAATACATGATGTATTGGATATGCATGGTGGGATGTAAACTTTCATCTTCTAATAGGAATAGTGATTTTAGGTTCTTGGGAGAAGTGATGTAGAAGCACAAAATAGAAGTGATTTCATTATGTAGTCAACATATGAAATAAGAGGGTGGAAAGTATTACTAGCTCTACTTTAGAGACCCAGAAACAAAGGGGTTTAACATCTACCATCAAACACACAGAAAATACAAAAGAAAAAGAAAGGCTTCTCCAAGATCAAAAAATAAACTTCATATTCTAATTAGTATTTTAAGAAATGAACTCAGTTCTAGGCTATTGCAAGAAAATTTCTGAATATTTCCTTCTTTCTCCTGTTACTCCTTTTTTTCTTTGATGCTGTAGTAACTTCCTCTGCTCTGGCCTACTATTCCTATTCTTCAGAGCTTCAAACCATCTATGAATTCATGGGAATCTATGATGATTTATTCACAATTCAGTTTTTGATGCATTATAGCATTTGCTTTTTAGAACCTTCTTAAAATTCTTCTTAGGATTCACATCATTTTTTAGATTAAGAACCTGTTCTGCATCTGTAGGTACTCAGACCACTTTGCTCTAGTGAGGCAATGAGAAATGTATTTTAATTTTGGATTTTTAAATTTTGGGGGGATTACAGACCTTTTTAGGAGCTCAGTGAGAACTGTGGGCTCTTGCATTCCCCCCACATAAAACACAAATACACATATGAACACATTGTATCCAATTTCAATGGAGTCTCTGAAACCCATGTTTAGATAGATAGCCTGCTTAGTATCTCAAGGAACAATCTCAGCTTAAACTATATCCATATTGGTTAATCTTTGAGTCTAGGACAACAAAGCAGTATTTAAAAGTAAAAACTGGCCAGGTTTCTTGCACTTATCTTCTCATGAGATTGCCCTGAGGCTGTGTCCCTAGTAGGACTCCTGCCTTTGTCTGCCTTCTGCACTGCCCCCAGAATAAGTTCTTTCTCCTGGTCACTTAACACCTGTTTTCTCTGGCCACAAGATTAATGAAAAATATAAAATAAAGCAAAGCTTCATATGACTTCAGCAAATCAGTGGTCATATGGACAGTGTCAGAACAATCGGTGACCCTGTCTTGCTCGTGTTGCTTCTTCAGCACAAAGGAAGAGGAAACCTCTATCATGCTTTCTTTTTAGTTCTCTGGTTCCATGGAGTTGATGGCCACTGGTGACCCACACTGCCCCATGATATATATTTTTTATTATCAGATTATGTATCACATTACAAAGGCAAAAATGTGTAGATATAAATGCTTTATGTGCTTATTGCCAAATGGTTCCTATTCTAACAAACAAGATTAGTGGGAACTGTTCAAAATCCTGAGTGCTATTAACTTCATCCATGTAAACATTCCAAAGTCAATTTGGCAATAAACACCAAAATCCTTAAAAATGTAGATACCTGTTGACCAGACAATTGCCCTTTTAGAGTTACATTCTAAGATGATAATATATAGAGTAAAGATTAACTATAAAGATCAACAGCCCCACTTATATAAGCAAATAAATGGAAAAGAATGAATTAAGGAAATCAGTTCATTATGTATGACATATTTATGTTAAATACAGTGCTCCCTTTGTGTTAAAAATAATAGTGTAGAGTATTTAATAAATTGAGAAAATGTCAATAATACATATAGCTAAGAATCAGGTTCTGAAGCTTGTCTTTGGTAGGATTCCATGGTGACACTGTCGTTTTATCCATAACCCATTCCAGACCTCCCCACTGAGTTGCAGCCATGATTTGGGTAGCATCTACCCCAATCTCAGCTCCAGGGGTCAGCATGGTAGGGTTTAGCCAATCTGATTATAACAAGGTCAAGCCAACTAGCCTATTCATGTTCCTCTGGCTATAAAAGTTGGTTCCCATTTGGCCAAATCAGCATGCAACTCAGGACTCTTGTTTAGGACTTGGGAGTGGACACTGTCTCTTCTGTATAAGAAAAGGCAAGTACACAACTCTGATTACCTTGGGCAACCATTCCACTACCATGAGGAAAGCCAGCCTGCAGTTAGTGTACTTAGAGAATGCAGAGCGATGCATCTGGAGCCTTCCTAAATCAGGTTAAAGCCTAATATATCTAGATTTTTCAGTTGTAGTACCAATAATTCACATTTAATAATTAATCTAGCATGAGCGGGATCCCTGGGTGGCGCAGCGGTTTGGCGCCTGCCTTTAGCCCAGGGCGCGATCCTGGAGACCCGGGATCGAATCCCACGTCGGCTCCCGGTGCATGGAGCCTGCTTCTCCCTCTGCCTGTGTTGTGTCTCTGCCTCTCTCTCTCTCTCTCTCTCTCTCTCTCTCTCTGTGACTATCATAAATAAATAAAAGTGTTTTAAAAAAAGAAAAATATGTTTCTTAAATGCCTTTTAAAAAAAAATCTAGCATGAGCTTTGTTTTCAGTACTTGTAACCAAAAACATTCAAATTAGTTATGGACTCTGATTATATTTTTAAAAGGTGTGTTTATATATTACAAAGTAAACAACAAAATATCAGCAATAGTTGTCTTTTGGAGATAAGGTTACCAGTGATTTTTCCCTTTGCTTTGTGCCAGAGTTCTATTCTAGAAAATCTAGAATTACAGAAATTCATCTGTAATGAATATATATGTTAGTTTATTCAGGAAAACTAGAATGTAATGATAATTAGGATCATAATCATCATCATCATCTAAGCAAAAACCTTCAGACCTTTAATTCCAGATGGAAATAGACAAATGAACTAGCTCTTCAAGTGGAGGTGAACTTATTTCTCTTTTTATACCTTTCAAAATCGTGGATGCTAAGTTCATTCTAAGAATCTTATTAATGTATTCTAATAACTTTATTTAAGAAATTTAAGTCTTATCAGCTCAAAATTCGTGGACATTGATACTGCCATCAGTAGAGATTGGTTTTAGGTGTACTGAAGTTCAGGTAGGGGGCAGAGTGGAGCCCAGTGGGAAAAAAACACTAGGCTTGGAATCCCAGTTCTGCTGTTTCCTGGTTATTTGGTCTCAGGCAATTACGTAACCTCTGTGAACCTTGATTACTTCAGCTAAGAAACTATGGGATTGGACTGAATGTTATCTACTATCTTTCCATCTATGAAATTCTAGAAGTCTATTCATGCCTCTAAATAAAATTTTATTTTGAGAAGAGCTGATATGTATTGCCTGCTTTAGGAAGTATAGGCAAGATCAACTCCCAATACAGTTTTGATAGATGATAGAGATTGTTTGCAAAGTTATGTTAAGGTTTCTGAGGGTCCACGTGGACTCAGCAAGAGAAAGTGCTATGATCTATTAACAGTGTTGCTGTGGAGAAGAAAGGAAGAGTTTTGGCATTTAATAGTAAGTATCTGAATCAACAGTCAGGCTCATACGCACATATCTAAGATCGCCCTGCCCTCCTTTTTAAAAATGTGTTACATGGGGTCCAAAATCTTTTCAAAATGCAGTAATTTGGAAGAAAATGCATCAAAGTGTATCTGCTTCCTTTCTCCTGTTCCTTTGATACCTTGTAATCACTGCTGGTAATAGACTGAATAAGACCTTGACGGAATGAAAGCAAAACCTTTAGTAGTTGAGAATTCAGAAGGAAATTTCTTGCTTGTTCCTTCACTTGATATTTCTTATGGAAGGATCTGTGAACAGCAACTTCCTAGCTAGTTAGCAGATGTCCTAATATCAGTTCTGAGAACGGGTAGGGCTGTCATTGAGGTATTTGTTTGCAACCTTGTTCACTTCTTGCTTCTGTCAAACTCATCTGTAGTGTGGAACTCCAGCAGAAATCCTTGAATAAAGATCAATGTCCTGGAGAGAAGCCAGAGGAGCTGGAGTCAGGAGCCATCTATCACTGCCACAGCAACTCCAAGGCCACAGAGAACAGAGCAAATGAGCAAGTCTACGCCAAGTGGAAACTCTATGCTGCTTCGGGAGTATGCTTTGTTTTCATGATTGCAGAAGTCGTGGGTGAGTATTATTTAAAAAGACTGCTCTGATTAAACAAGCAAACAAACAAAACCCCACATCACCGAAGGATGGTTATCTAAGTTCTCCTTTTAAATAAAGAATTCATATTTTCTGTAAGTACTGAGTAACAATATCCTCATTGTCAATAAAATGGAAAAATATTAGAAAACAAAATTCCTCACCATCCCACATTTGAGTAATAACCTCTGATAATATTGTGGAGTGTTTTTTCCAATATACTTATCTGTCATAACTCAGTTTTTTAACATAACTGAGAGCATACTGAATGTTTTTGGCCATGCCATCAAATACTCTTCAAAAACATTTTTATGTCTGAACAATATTCTATAATATGCTCTACCGTGATTTACATTACTATCTATTGTTAGAAATTTAGGGAGGGTTTTTTTTTTCCTGCTATGTATGGACAGGCTGTAATAAAAACTCATGAATAAAGGTCTGCCTGCCTTTCTAGTTGATCTCTTGAAAGAGATTCCTAACAGTGGAAAAATTGATTGAAGGACATAAATATATTTGTTACTTCTTGATGCATATTGCCAAACGGGTATCCAGAAAGCTTAAAACAATTCATATGTCTGCATGATGTATGTGAAAATGATTCTCCAAATCTCTACTAGAACTTATTTTAATCTTTTAGAATCTTTATGAATATATAGGTGAATATCCTTTATTTTAATATTCATTTCTTTGTTATTGTTAGAATATTTTTGCATGCTTATTAGTAATCTATGTTTCCTTTTGTTGATGCATTTCCTGCTTGCCTCTTAATATTTCTTGCTCATTTGTTTTATAGATAATTTGTAATGCTTTATATTGATCTCTGGGAGCTCTTTATATAGTTAGGATACTGAACTTTTTATATTTGTTATAAGTACTTTTAAGTTTATTGTTTGTCTTTAATTTTTGGTTAGATGTAGATAAGTTTTAAATTTTATATATGTAACTGTACCAAACATCCCATTTTGAGCTAATTTCTTTTATTGCTCTTTCACTCTTTTAGTGCTTTTGTCCCTGTATAAATAAATACCATTTTGTTGTTCAATTTTTTGCATTTAATTTTAAATCAATGTGAGATTAGATATACTCTAAGGACTAAAAATTCTTTTTATAAATAACAGAGTTTTCAGAATTATTTATGGAATAATTACTCCTATTGATTTTTGATGTTTCTTTCATCATTTATCAATATTTTATAAAGAATAAAGGGTTGGTTCTTAGATGTTTTATTGATCTGTATTGCTATTCTCTGTTACTAGTAGCATTTAATTAATGTAGTTTTTTGTTATAAAATCTGTTGTTCTCTCATCATTCCTCATTTAAAAGAAAAAAGGAAAAGCTCATTAATTTATGTTTATTATTCTAATTAAACATGAGAACCATTGTGTTCAGTTCCCTCCAAAATCGAATTATGGCTTTACTGGTAAGTAAGATAATTTGGAAACACAAATATTTTTAAAGTACTCAGTTTATCCTCCAAGAATATGATATGTTTCTCCATTTTAACCAAATACTCTACATTTCTCATATGTTTTGTGATTTTAGTTAGTTGGGTTATTGTTTGTTCAGAGTCAGCCTATTTTTTTGCCAGGGTTATTTAGATGTGTTTTGTTTATTCTTTGCAGAGGTGAAGGGGGTCTTCCTTTTTGCATGTCCTTTTTTGAGGTGATTACTTTTGGTATTCTGGAAAGTTTTCCATTTTGCATATTCATTTTATACTCAACAGTATACTAGAATTATTTTCATTCTAAATGTATTCAACGCATTTTGTTTCTCTCTCATCCATCCTCCTCCCTCCTAGGAGGTAACACTTTCTTGTGCAAAAAACGTTATTTCTCTTCTTTTTCAATAAATTAGCTCTCCTGTATGTTTCATATTTTTATCATGTTAAATAATATGCTAAATCAAATCTTATGTTAAACTATTAACTGTTAAGGGAAATGTTTCCTGAGAGGTTAAGTATTTCATTATGTGAACGAAGTGGGTTTTTTTCCCTAGTTTTTAAATGATTAACAGATAATTAAAGACACTTTTTACTTTTATCAAGTAAATTTTCTTTTAAACATACTGTTAAGCATTTTTTGACTCATTGTTGATATGTATCATATTCAGAGATTTCCTAATATAATATGGTCTTTGCATTCCTGGCATTATGATGATAATAACTAAAATCTATTTAATGCATATTATGTGCCAGGAACTGTGATGAGTGTTTGCCATTGTGTTACCTTACTTAATCCTGTCAAAATCCCTGTGAGGAAGGTCCTATTATTAATTGCACTATATAGATGAAGAATAGAAACACTGTTGACTACTCTACTTGAGTAGCACGCTTTGTAAATAGGCAGGCAGTCTGAATTCAGGAGCTCCTGGCTATAGTGCCTCTAAGTGAACTGTGGTGGACCATTCTTTCAATGCATTGCTCAGTCTGGATCACTTACATTTTCATTAGGATTTTTTATCTTTATTGATAACTGAAATTGAGAGTTTTATGTTTGGAGCTATTTTTCTCAGTTTTTGAAATAGAGTTATGCATATTAAAGTGAAAAGTTTAATTTTAATGATATTTTTAAAAATAAAACAATAGAAATGATTTATATAACATTGTAATTATCTCTTCCTTTTAAAGAATTCCCTGGCAAATTGTCTAGCTTTAGAGACAGTCTTGGAAATAATTTTTAAGATAGATTTATTAGCTTCTTCCTTATTTTTTGATGTACTCAAAGTTTCTACTTCTCCAGTAAATTTTGGTCATAATGTTTTTCCAAAGTCTACCATCCCACTGAAATTTTCCAATTTACATTGGAACATGACAGCTTCATATTAATATTCTTTTGTTTATTCTAGCTACTTTCTCATTTTAATATTGTTGATATATTTTCTTTTCCTTGATTAACTGGGTGGATATCTAGTTTATTGAGACTATTATTATTATTATTATCTAAATTTTTCTGTTTTTAATTTAGAATTTTGGTTTTAAAAATATTTGTTACTAAAAAAAATTTGTTAATTTGTTACTTTCTCCATGTTTCTTCAGGGTTGTAGTCTTATTGCATGTCTTAATATCTTGAGTTATATCCTTCTCTAAATATTTTTATGCTTTCTTTTTTAATAAAATTATGTTTAGCTATGAATTTTATAAGTTTTGATATGTCATGTATCTTTTCTTATTTTTCCACCGCCAAAATAAAAAAGGAACACTAGAAACTAGCTGGCATACAGTATTATAAGGTACTATTACTCCATGACAATTCTTACTTGTTACAATCTTATCAATATTTTGGTTTCATTTTCTTCTACCCAAAAGGAGGACTAAATTAATAGTATCTGAGACTAAAGAAAAATAGAACCTGCCAAGTTTTTGTTTTTATTTAGTTTTGTTTTGTTTTGGTTTGGGTTTTGCTCTAGCATAGCCAATAAACAAAATTAATTGATTTCTGAATCCTATGGAGTCTTATGGCCTCTATATTTATACTCAGACTTTTATCTTTTGAAAACTGGAAAAGAACCTAGACTCATCCAGTCTAAGAAAAATCCGGGGTTGGCAAATAATTTTCCAGTCAAAGATTATAAAAATAATCGATATCACACAATTTCTAGAGCCAGGGTAAGTTTTTTGAAGGAACCAACTTAATAGCTTGATGAAATTGCAAAGAATTTACTTTGAGTAATTCCAATTTGAAAACTCACTGCAAAAATCCACTGATATTTATGCCAGAGGTATATTCCATTTTATTAGTTAAATTCATAAGATTGTGGACAGTATTCTATTGCTTATGTAAGAGACGGACAAAATGGAAAATCTAAAAAACAGAACCTATTCAAAATGTGGCTTAACAAGGCGATGTTCTGGAAATTTATAGCTTTCCAGATAAAGTACTGGCAAACACTACATGCAAACACAGCTCAGCAAGATGTAGAAACTGGCTTGTTTTTCTCCACTACTTTCTTACTCTGCTTTCCCCAGAATCCATGTAGATGCTGAGGACAGGCGGCATCTTTTCCCTAGCTGATGTCTAATCAACAGTCTGAAATGAGATGGTCTCCCATTCATAAAACTCATTTTTCCCCTTGTACCTTTCCTATGCCCTGTCGTGTTATTTTAAAATTACTTATATTTTTGGGGGAGGGGTGTTGAAAAGTTATTCACTTGGAGTGAGCAAATCAATCTCCCTCTTCTCTTTCATTCTTAATAATTAATTAGTCTATAAATTCTAATCTGGCTTGAGTTTAGAGCCAGAAGAAAGTGATGTTGTCATTAAGGAATTAAGTGGATACTGACAGACTCATTTGGAGTTTGAGCTGCATTGATTTTGAACTGATTTTCCTAAAACATTGCTCTCATCATGTTAAATATGTCTTCAGAATTCTTCACTGGCTCTGCTTTGCCTATTTCAGGGCTTTACAATGTTTCCTCCATCATAGCAAGCACAGAAAATGTTACTGAGTATGGGGATAGACCCAAAAGTGTGCTGCAGCAGGGAGAAGCTGGTTCAGGGGCTGCCTCTGTGCTAGGTCCCCAGGTGAAAAGAGATCAATATATTTGAAAACTCTGCACTCTGGACAAAATGAAAAGTTCTTACTTTGACTTTCAAGTCATCCCACCATCTGGCTGTCAAACCAACTATCAATCTTTTTCTCTTACTACTTTACTACATGACTTTTCTGTTTCAGCTGTTTCCCCCATCCTGTACAAAATAACACTATATCTTAAAGTCTCTGTAGCTTTTGCTTATGTCTTTTTATTTGAATAGAAAAGGCCTCTCCTCATCCCTCACATTCATCAAAACCCTGATCATCATTCAAGACCCCAGCCAAACCTTCACCAAAAGCCATTCTTGACCAGGTCAGAGAAAGCTATTGTTATTCTCAGGTCACTTTTGGGAATCTGGGAGGTCCTCATACAGGGTATGGGATTTGAGACAGGCCTTAAAGTTTGTGTAGGCACTGAGAAGTGGCTAAGAGGGAGATGGAAAAGGCCTTCCAGAGGGAGCACTCTTATGAGCAGCACCTGATTACTTCTGTGGTCCAGGAGGTAGTAAATATCAGCGTTGCCTGGAAAGATTTTAAGCAGGTAGGTCTTCAATAGTACAGGAAATCTGTATTCTTAGAAAGCAATTTAAGTGATTCTTGATGTCTAGCTGCATTTGGGTGTCACTGTTTGTCGTGGTCAAGGATTGCCTGTACAGGAAGCTTCCTCCTACTCACTGTACTGAAAGCAGTTCTGGTCCTCCTGGACCACAAACCACATGCTCAGAAGCAAGACTGGTTATGAGGTGCCAAGCAAGATTACTCAGAGTCTCTGGGTCTTTTTATAGGGAGACTAGAGGGGAGAACAGCTCTTTATCCTCTACAAATACTCTGCTGAAATGATAGAAACCTGGAGCTTCCAGTGTCCAACTTTTCTTGCCAAGGGTGAAGTAAGTCTGTCTCCAGTAAGACAATAAATATCAACAGTTAGAGACAGGGCAGAGCCCACCCCATCCCAAACGTTTTTTGAACCTTAGGATTCGAATGCATTGGATCCAATCCTACCCTGATTTTTTCTAGCTATTTGAGCCAATAAATGTTCATTTTGTGGTTGTTGTCGAAGCCAGTTTGCTTAAGACATTTATGACTTACAACTGAACCTATCTAAGATCTATCTGAATAAGTGATGTAAGATAAAACAGGATGAGTGCTGAATAAAACCAGAATGATAGTTGGGGCTCAAGAAAGATCATGAGGCCTGGCTAGGGAACCTGGATTAATTCTGTAGGCCTTATAGGATAATTGACATTTAGAACAGGGGAGAACCAGGTCATAGGGCTGTGTTTAGAGAGAGAATTGGCCACAGAGCAGACTGGTGGGAGGAATCAGAGAAGGTTATAAGCATTAGTGTGTCTACTGTTAATGGGCCTTGAATCTGTTGAATTGGGACTCTTTTTGACTGCTTGTGAAAACTCCTAATTATGGAAAGGTCCATGCCCGCTGCTGGTGCCAGGGTGGGCACCCATGCTGTACACCCAGCCTAGAAGCCAGCCATGTCTTGCGGGGGCGTGTGTGTAAGTATAGTGTAGTCAGGTGCTCAGTGAAGAATATAAAAATAAAACAGAATCAAACATATATAGAAAAATATCTATTTTAAGTTTAAAAAACAGGAAAACAAACAAACAATCCCCATCAGATAGTTGTCCAACCCCCAGCTGGGTCTGATCCTTCTCATCACCCACCCGACCTGGCTGCCCCCTCACCTCGGGCTCGGGGGATCTGTAGGGGACTGGGGGGCCATTTCCTTTTCTCTGCCCTTTTTTTTGGTTGTTGTTCTATTTTGTATAGACAAGTCAGAAAAACAACAGTGACAAAAAAGTCAAGAAACTTTGTAAAAAAAAAAAAGTGCCTGCACATATAAATGCATATCCCTATTTAAAAAGACAGTTATATGGACACCAGGAACTCACAAAAATCAGCTTAACTATGGCCATTACTGGAAGCAATTGAGAATGGTCAGAGAGAGAGAGAGAGACATCCTACAGGAGGACTATTTAGAGTGTGAAGCACAGATGGAGGATGCAGGAGGTTGCTAGATAGGAAAACAGAGCTGGGAGCTGCCTGGGGGAGATAGTGAATATCTCAGAGTAAGAAACTTCTCTTAGAGAGAGCTATGGCTGGGTGGTTTGATAACCACAAGCTTTACTGTTAAGGAGGCTTACTTTGTACTAGAGTCGGTGTCTCAGAGGCTTAGGCCACTTACATTTTTTGAGGTTTCTGATATTAAAAATTTAAGAGGTGTCAAAACACGCCTATGCAAACTGTGGTGTGCGTTAAATACTTGTTAAGTAACAATTTAGTGCATTGTGTTTTTGATAGTATAATTTTGTTTTATATAGTATAATAATTCTATTACTATATATTATTAATAATATACTATGATATAGTATAATAATGCTCTTCATAAGATGGAGGATTTTTAAAATTTGAATTATATAATGGTGATGTCCAGGAATGAGATACAAGCTAATGTTGTCTGAGAGACATTTGCTTCTTTCCTTTTGATAAGTATGTGTCTGTTCTCCACAGAACACGCCATGTGTATTTACCACCCACTCTCTGAAACTGAGGTTAGTATGAGACCCAGGCCCAATGGCTCCCCACTGTCCACTCACCCCACAGGCCCTAGTGCATTTCCAGAACTTAGTCCCTAGTTCCTCTCCTGTCTTGTCATCAGTGCACTGCCTTCTCCATCTTGCCAGTAATCCATACATGTGTGAGTGCTCCTGCCTTCCTTCATGCCTTCATTGTATTTCCTTGGCTATTCCTGTTGCGTCTTAACCTCCAGCTTCTCCTCCCTCTAGGTCAGCCTCCACATTGCCGGCAAAGATCTCTCTCTCTCTCAAATACAGATATGAGTACATCACAACCTTGCCTCAAATCACAGTAGATTCTCTTATCCCATAGGGTAACATTCAAATTCTCCAGCCTGACATAGTTTCCCACAGGTGGGTCCCCAACCCGCATTTCCACTCTCATTTCTAGCTATTCCCCCAACACTCCACATCTCTTGATTTTCCACAAAGGTGCCATCTTCTTTCATTTTTTTCTGTTTTGGTTCTTGCTCTTACCTCTTCCTGAAAAACTCTTCCCTTCTAGCTCTGTCTTACCCCCCTCTCCTGTGAAAAATTCCTCAATGCTCCCAAGGAGAATGGTTTTCTGATCCTCCTAGCCCACGGCACAGTCTTGAGTATGGTGAATGCTCGACAATGAGATCACTGAAGACAGGGACTCTGCTGAACTTTGTGTATCTTTGTGTACCCCATCCCTGTACCGTGCACAGGAAGGACTCAGTAGATACTGGCTGGATGACAACGATCATTATCAATAATACCCCATGTTTAAAAAAAAAATTTTTAAATTTACTTATTCATGAGAGACACAGAGAGAGAGAGAGAGAGAGAGAGGCAGAGACACAGGCAGAGGGAGAAGCAGGCCCCATGCCTGACATGGGACTCAATCCCAGGTCTCCAGGATCACAGCCCTGAGCTGAAGGCGGTGCTAAACCGCTAAGCCACCCGGGCTGCCCTAACCCATGCTTTCAGAAGCAAATGCAAGTTGAGTCAGAAACTACCTCTTGCACACAGTTTTCTCTATAGGGTTCAGCATGATTGCTCACAGTTTTCTGGACTGTTCTTAGAAGTAGCAATGATGATGCAAAGTGGTTCTCACTTCCTGGGCGTCCAAATCAATATGCTTCTTCCAAAGCAAGTTCTCTTTCTCGCTCAGTCATCTCCTGATTCAGCTGAGCCTGTTGAAGAGCCCCTATAGGACTCCTCTCCCTTGACTTAAGCTACAATTTGAGCTGAGCACATGGAATCGTCACTCTTGTTCCTTGCCGACATGGTGGTCAGCTGCTAATCTGCATGTAGCCTTTCTCCCGGTAAGAAATACTGCATTATTAACACAGCTTTATTATCAAACCCCAGAGTTTGGCAGAGAGAGCAACATTAGAGGATAATTGGAAGAAAAGCTGATTTGTTAGCAAAATATTGCCTTTTGGCTAATGAATCATTGTGATTTTTTGCACTGACAGCTCAGTAACAAGCTTGAAGACTACTTTGCTTCAGACCATTAAACTTTGACAAACCAGTTATTAACTACAGCTAGAGCCAGTGGTCTGTGGGGATTATTGCAATTATGAGCCATATATGTAATTTTTAAAAATCATTAGTTGAGACAAGGTGAGTCTGATGATGGAGGGGCTGGTGACTGATAAGTCTCTGTCGCTTGTCATATACAGGCGATAAACAGCTGCCAGGAAGACACCTGGTCGGCGCAGCTCTTTTTCAGGAAGATGTAGCAATAAACACTGTTCTCAAACAAGGAGCCCTGTTTGGGAAAGAAGAAACAATGGTTTCTTTTGATTTCTATTTTGGAGGCTGGAGGTCTTTTCTTGCAGAGCTAGAAGGAGGTAAAGAAGGCAAACCAAATAGAAAGAAAGGCAAGTCAGGATGTCCATGGCTTGGGTTCCCTTCCTACAGTTTATTGGGCAGTGGTTACACTTCAGGACCTCAGTGGAACGTGTCTGCCCTTTTCTTTACTGCTCCCCACTGTTCATAATAGGGATCTTGAACTCAGGTGGGTAATATAAATTAGGAGAGAAGAAGGAAGTGGTAAAAACCTTGGTAAAATCACAAGTCAAGTCCAAACACAGCTGTGGGTCTGACCACAACCCCTGGGTTATAGACAGTAGTCCAGGTCCTCCGACTTCAGTACAAGATTCTTCAAATCCAGCCCATACCTCTCCAGCCTCATCTTTTTTTTTTTTAAGATTTTATTTATTTATTAGTGAGAGACACAGAGAAAGAGGCAGAGACACAGGCAGAGGGAGAAGCAGGCTCCCTGTGGGGAACCCGATGTGGGACTCAATCCCAGGACCCCGGGATCATGACCTGAGCCAAAGGCTGAGAGGGACACCTGGGTGACTCAGTGGTTGGACGTCTGCCTTCAGCTCAGGTCATGATCCTGGAGTCCTGGGATTAAGTTCCTCTCCAGCCTCATCTTTTCATATTTTTTTTGAACTCTGATGTCCCAGTCTAACTGTGATGTTCTCTAAATGTGCCTACACTTTCCAGTGTCTGTACTTTCCCTCTCCCAGGAATGGCCATTCCCTTGAAATCCTTTTCCACATGTTCAAATCCTATGCACTCTATGGGTGTCTGTTTCTTATCAAATTGAGAAGAGGTGGATTAAATTAATGTTGATATCTTTTGTCTTACAAAGCTTTGTGAATCTGTGGCAATTTTCACCATGGTTAGTATGCATGTAAATCTAGTTGCCCTAATCCTGGGGTCCCTAGGGGGCCCTAATCCCACGTAATGTTCTGCATTCCCTAGGTGGCCACATTGCTGGGAGTCTTGCTGTCATCACAGATGCTGCCCATCTCTTAATTGACCTGACCAGTTTCCTGCTCAGTCTCTTCTCCTTGTGGTTGTCATCAAAGCCTCCCTCGAAGCAGCTGACATTTGGATGGCACCGGGCAGGTACAGTTCACCCACTGAGCATTAATGGCAAAGCGGTGCTATACAGTCAAGCCAAGGATAAAAACAGAAGAGACAAGCAAAGCCTCATTCAAAAATCCCTCAGAGGCGCATCGGCGCACAGGATTAAGAGGATGCGTGCCTGGGAACGCGTGTTCTCGATGTTGATTTGTCAAAAAGCCAGATTAATTGTGCTCCCTCTACTCCAATGGGACAGCAGGAACTTGTATCACTTTAGCAAGAGCCCCAGTCCAAGGGTCTCAGGGTGTGGTACCCTTCATTCAGTTACTCTGCATCTGGGAGGGAAGATGGGATAAAACTTCTACCATTTTGCAAAGTAAGGCACAGAGAGCCCAAGAGAGCTACAGAGATTGAAGAACTACTCATAGATTAAGTCGAGAATAAAATGTGAAGAAAATTTAGGGCAGAGCAAGGGTGGCCAACATCTTACATGACCAGCCTTCACTGAAAGTTGCCTCTAGATACAGACCATGACTTATGGCAATATGCACTGTGGTTTTTCAAGCTTAGGATGGCTGAAAGTTCTGATTTCACAGGAAGGGGAGAGGGAGAGATGAGGCAATAAACATCAATAAAAAGAATTTGTGACAATGTGATCTGAAGTTGCTTTCCAGACCCTGATCAGTGCTGTACTTGGAAAACATGTCTTTGAGCACTTGTCATTTGTCTGTATATATTTTTTATATGTACTTTCTCCTTTCTGATGCTATTGGTCAAAGCTATTTTGTAAACATAGGATGTTTTGTAAACACAGACAGAACTCAGAACTTTTAGGATTATTTATTTATTTATAAAAGATTTTATTTATTTATTAGTGAGAGACACACAGAGAGAAGCAGAGACACAGGCAGAGGGAGAAGCAGGCTCCATGCAGGGAGCCCAGTGTGGGACTCATCCCGGGACTCCAGGATCATGCCTTGGGCTGAAGGCAGGCACTAAACCGCTGAGCCACCCAGGCGTCCCTAGAATTTAGAATACTGCTTGTATTTTCTCATCCTGGTGATGGAAGTCCATGAACACTGATGCTCTAGAACACCAGTGCTGTTCAATGGAACTCTCTGCTTCAAGAGAAATGTTCTATAATATAGAGTATAATGTGGCCTTAGAGCACTTTATTTTCTTTTTATTTATTCTTTTTAAGTAGGCTCCACACCCAGCATGGAGCCCAGCATGGGGTTTGAACTCACAACCCTGAGATCAGGACCTGAGCTGAGCTGAAGAGTTGGATGCTCAACCAACTGAGCCACTCAGGTGCCCCCAACAAGCACTTAAAATGTGGCTACTGCTACTGAAGAACCAGACTTTTAATTTTACTTAATTTAAATGAAAACAGCCGCATGCGATGACGGTTACCCTATTAGGCAGCACTGTTACAGATGTATAGATGAAAATGAACTAGCTTGTCAACATGTAATTTCATGGATGACTTTAAGAAGAAGCTAAGTATAAAAAGTGAATTTATTAACAAGTATTAAGTGGCTAATATGACAGGTGGCATGTGGATGTGGTAAAAATCATGAAGGCTGTGTATAAATGACTGAAGCCTGGGAGACAACATGTTCTATGGCTCTGCTCTAAAAGAGGGAGGGCCAAAAGTATGGAATGTGCCTGGCCACTGACTTCCAGAATATTTCTAGGCCCTCCTAGGCTTTTAGTACCTACCTACAAAGTTACATTAAAGTTCAGGGTGAAGTGTTAAGGAACTCCTAAGTAAGCAAACATGCTTTACTCAGCCTGCAGACTGAACACCATCTTATCTTTAAATATTAATGTAAATGTCTCCACTCTGATCTTTCTTTTCCATATAGTTCCTCTTAAAATGCAGTTAAGTGTTGATATACCTCTGAGCTTGCCTCTGTGTTTACAATACATTGGGTTGGCAAATGAAACTCATTTTCATCCAGTACCTTCTGAAGCCTTCCCTTGTTACTATTTTATTCCACACAAGGTACCGGTACTGGCAAGTTGTAAATGTTTTATGGTGAAATTGAGAGTTTCTAAACACATTTTATTCTTTGTGTCTCATTATTTCATCTCGTAATAAGTTTCAATCATTTTAGCACCTGTTTAAATTAAAATCCCCAAGGAAAACAGCAATGGCAGATAGCAATTAATATACTTTAAAAATTTGCTTGAATTACTTAGTAATATGGAGCATAATGAACTCAGACGCTGGTGTTTTATGAATGCAACATTAAAGTGTCTCATCTTGGTGTTAAAATCCATCCACACTTTTGCTTTGTGAATCACTGAGTGAATGAGTTTAAAGCCTCTTTTACAGGGAGGGGGGGTGACTGGCAAGGAATGTTAATGCCTTTTGATTCTTGAGAGGTTAAGGTAATTCACAAATTCTTTGTGTCTGGGTATCTGTGTGCTTAAATCCCCAGAGATCCTTGGTGCCCTGCTGTCCATCTTGTGCGTCTGGGTGGTGACTGGGGTGTTGGTGTACCTGGCATGTGAACGCCTGCTGTACCCCGATTACCAGATCCAGGGGACGGTGATGATCCTGGTTTCAGGCTGTGCTGTGGCAGCCAACATTATGTAAGTCACCCCACACACTGCCCATAAAAGTTGTCTTTAACCCTGTCTGTTTTTGTTTAATTCTTCCACTTTTGAAGATGATAAATTGAATAAATTGTCAGTGAGGTAGTGCAGAGCCGGGATCTGAATCTAGATCTACTAGGCCCAGAATCGAGCTCCTGGCCAGTCTGCTCTTATGCATAGTGATGGTTCCATATGAGATATGACTTATTCCTATTTAGTTTTTGTTACATGAACAACACATTCTGGGTTCCCAGAAGACTGGGTTGGAAGGGATCTTAAATTTCATTTACTTCAGTTTTCTTTCTACTTTTGAATTCTCCTTTGCAACATCCCAATAAAATAGTCATTAGTGTCATATATTTTAACAGAACTAATAACCGGGAATTTATTTCTCTTCAAAGCAGTCTCTCTTATCTTTGTATCATTGTGACTGTATGAAAATTGCTTCTTAAGCTGTATTAGCTAAACTCTCTCTTTAGTTTCCACTTGTTGATCCATTCTCTTACACAGGCAATTTATTCTTATGAGACATGTGATGCCTTACTGGACATGTGATCATTACTATATTGCTCTTCTCTTACCCTAATGAGCTATTTGATTGTTCATGATAAGGGGGTTTTGAGGCCAGGTCTTTGATATTTTTTGGTTGATTTGTTCCTTACCATTTGATAGCTTGATTCTGGGCAACACTATTTAAAACTGTATCATCTATCTATTTATCAATCATCTGTGGTAGACAGAATAATGAATGGCCCCTCAAAGATTTCCACATTCTAACCCTTGAAATTTGTGAGTATATTAATTTACATGGCAAAAGGAACTTTGCAAATGTGATTAAGTTAAGAATGGATTTTGAGATGGGGAGACTCTCTTGGGTTATCTAGATAGGCCCAATGTAACAGAAAGATCCTTGTAAGAGAGACACTTGGGTCAGAGTGAAGGGAAGATGCTGCATTGCTGGCTTTGAAGATAGAGAAAGGATCCTGGAGCCAAGGAACTTAAATGACTTCTTCATGCTGGAAAAGGTAAGGCAATGAATTCTCTCCTAGAGTCTCTAGAAGGAATGTAGTCCTGCATACCCATTTTAGACTTCTGACCTCCAGAACTACAAGAGAATAAATTTATGTCATTCTAAGCCTCAAAAGCTTTGTGGCAATTTGTTATAGCAGCAAAAGAGACTCATACACTGTGTATCACCTACCTATCCTATAATGCAACATAATACATGCTATGAGGTAGGTTTATCCACAAAAGTGAAGAAGACAGTGATAGAAGAATCACATTTCAAACAGTGGTTTTTAAGAGAGGGCATAATGGAATCCCTGGTATTAGAGGAAAATCTGAACATGGACACTTTGAAAAAGCTCCTCAGGTCACTCTAATCCCTTTGCCTTCTGCCTGTCTCAGTGCCTTACCTCCTAGTGTGCAAATCATTGGTCAGAATCTCTGAGCTAAACAGTTAGAAGAGTGGTATTTGACTGCTATTACTAAGTAGGTCCCTACTTCCAATCAGGTAACTTGAAAATGTGTTTCATATTGGCAGTGGGAGAAAAAGCGTGTGGAGATCAATGCAAATCTATCACCACAAGGAGACAAATAAGGCAGAGCACATGTGCTGCTGAGTAGGAGTCCAGAACATCATCTTTGCATAAGGAGAACAATATGTCCACAAAACAGCAGGGAAAATGAAAATATTAAAAATTTCCTGAGAGTCATATGTCACATAGGTAGTATAGATGTTACATGAATAGGAAAGATACACCCAGCTAACTACCCCATAAATCTAGAACCTTGATGATCAAGTTTGACTTTCTAAATTGATACCATCCAAGTTTTTTTTTTTATTGCAACTGCTTTTGAACTTTGACCTTAACATTGAAGGTGCTTCTCATACTTAGAAAGACAAGGGAATTGAAAAGTGGTGACTTCCCTGTGCAAGGAGATAGTTATTTGTGGATAAATATACCGAGTGACTATAATGTTTTCTCCCAGAACTGGGATTATAGGTTTCAAGTGTTGCTAGATGCTGTGTTGTCTGAATATAGAAATATCAGAACTATAGTCTGGAATAAATCTATTCCTTGGAGACCCAAAATCAGGAAAGAAAGTTCTAATAGAAGTTGCAAAGGGGTTCTAGGATGAGGATTAGTGATAGAGCCTTAAGGCTATCGCATGCTGATTTCCCTGCCGGAAACATTCTCTCCTCTCCAGCCTACAATTTAACTCTAACATAACCTTTAGCTCCAATTCAATTGCTTTGTCTAACTAAATCAGACTTCTCTGTTGTGTTATCCATAGCACAAGTTCTTAGTAGACTTATTAAAATTAGAATTTTCATTTATTTGGGTCTTTTAAAAATCTCTGCTATCTCCATTATACTTAAAGCTACTTGGGGGAGGGATCATGTTTCATTCACCTTTATACCCCAAGCATTTAGCAGTGCCTGGCACACAAGAGTCCCTGAGTACTTTTTTTCTAATAAAATGAGTAAAAAAATGAGTGACAATATGATAAGCACATATGAATAGACCTAGAAAGAGAGTATGTTTAACTGCCAGGCATATCAGGCTGTCTGAAGATTCTTAAGTGGTAACTATTAATTAAGGATGAATTTCTGCCCAAACAGTGACCATCTAAAAACCGTACATTATGTAATGATCAAATCTTGCTGGAGAGCAATCATCCCACTTTGTGGTGATGACGTTCAATTTAACAGGCACTTTAGACTGGGATATGTGGTACTAAAGAATAATTTTTTTAAAAATCCTTGTTCCAAAATAAAATCAGATACATAATTTATAGTGGCTAATACTTATCTCTTTGACTTGGATAGGAGATGTTAAATTTTGCAATGTGTTATATATAGAGAGAGAATGAGGCCACAGCTTATACTCTTAGGACTGTATAAAATTTATATATGTTTGCATTTCTATATACATTTACATGTTAAATTGCATATATATTTACATATATATTTAAAATACATTAATACATTTTATTTTCTTATTAATAGCTACATATATACAAGCACATGAGTATCATCATTGGCCATTAAGAAATTATTCAGATTTTAAGTTCTCATAGAAATGAACAAAATTAAGTAAAATAAAATATTTTTTTAAAAATCTGAATCTAATGAAATTTTATTTTTGTTTTACCCCTTTTGCTGTCGTTTGTATTTGAAACCGGTACATTTAATTTACTCCCACCAAAGCACAGCTTTAAGCCTAACTTAATGCCTGACATTCAGGCATTAAAATAAATGATATTTTCCCTCTTCATTATCAAATAGTTTCATTTAGGAAGTGATACTTTCCAGTTTTCAGGTGACCATAGTAGCACTGGGTAGATAGAAGAGGAAACTGAAGTGAACTTTTGTTGTCTCTCCTTGTGTAAAAATTTAAAATTCTATGATACATTTGTTTTCAAAATTAGTCCAGAATAGTACATTTTACAGCATTAATATTTCAACTATCTGCAATCCTAGATAATACATGGTCTTGTGAATTCCCCATTATGCTGCATAGGTTTTCAAGGGCTAATCTTACGTGTGCCAAGAATACCCTTCTCTTTTTCAGGCTAAGTGTGATTCTGCACCAAAGACACACTGGCCACAATCATAAGGAAGTGCAAGCTAATGCCAGTGTCAGAGCAGCTTTTGTGCATGCTCTTGGAGATCTGTTTCAGAGCATCAGTGTGCTAACCAGTGCACTTATTATCTACTTTAAGGTGAGAATGTTTGAGTTTACTCACTGTCATAGTAAATTTATAGATTTTGTAGTACAGGAGCTGACATGCCAATATTAACTTAAATGAGGTGGACAGCCTATATTTGCCTATACCAACTGCTTTGCAAGGTTTAAACACACAAATATCCAAAGCCTGAAACTTAGACTTTCCAAATTCCTAAGTGCTATGTCTTGAACTATAGGGGCACCAGTCTTTCCAAAAAGTAGTTACTTTTGTTATGGAGTTAAGATGAACAGCAATGGAACAATGGATACCTTAGGATTCTTGGGTTATAAGTAAGGGAAAAGATGTCTAGCTTACTTATGAAAAGATATATTTATTGATTGAAATTTATTTGATGTACTCTTGGACAGAAATCAAGGTAGAAATAAAGACAACATTGGGTGTCTTAGATTTCAGAAACTATCCACTTTCTGTCCCAAGTACCAATGTAAAAATGAATGTGCCTCAGCCATTTTCCCCCATTTCTTGTCATTCTGCTGAAATGTGTATTTCTGGGAAAAAGTCCAACAGACTAAGGTAGGATTTTGTACCTGCTGCTTGGCTTGGGAGGGAGAGAATCTGATTGACTGTCCCACCAATATTACCCGCAATGGGGGAAAGATAATTCTCCTCCCAATGTCAGGGTGTTAATGGGAAGTTGGGATGGATCCTGGGTGAACCTCTGACCATAAACAAACATTTACCACAGATCTGTTAGGACAAGAACTGATGGAAGTGCACTGAGGTGGAGGTAGGGGTAATGGAGAAGAGCATTTAGCTTTGTTATTTGCATCTTGATCATCCAGTTAGCAGGGATTCTTTATCATTTTTATTAAAAAATAAAAACATATAAGCAAAAATCACAGACATATCTGAATTCAGTTGAGCATATATTCATTGAAAGCTTCAAGTTTAAGGCAAAATTGTTCAAACTTGCTAGTATTCTTGTTAGTAGAATTTGAGAGTTTCTCAGAGGTAATTGGGCATGGACTTTTCAGTGGCACAGAATTTCAAGGGCAGAGGAACAGGTATCTCACCCTGAGGCTAAGGGGTCCAGTGGTGAGACAGTGCCAAGAATGAGGCCTCAGCTTATACTCTTAGGACTTAATCAAAAATGCCTGCCTCAAATATGTGTCATCCTGAGGAGGGAAAGAAAGGAACTAACCCCAGTCTGCCAAGACCAAGCTCCAGCTGGACCTTGGTCATATGCCACCTCTGGGCAAGTGATACCCTTTCCTCTTATCAAAGCTAAAAGCCATTGAATACTGTATAAACTTGTGCATACTTTTAATCACATACTCTGCACTTCTATTAATTTGGGAAAAGTCAAATCAGGCCTTTGGAGAGAAAACCCAAGGATATTTTCCCTTTACATCTTAGATTTACTTTTTAAAATTTCTTCCGTCACTGATGGTTTGAAGCTTAAAAGAAGGAATGAGTCCTCAGGAAGTCTTACCTCTGAGTTGGACGCCAAATGTCAGGCAGGCGAAGGGTGATAATGTGAAAAAGAAGCAGAGATGATTATTTATTCTATTAATCAAACTTTTCATGGAAGTCCTGAATTCAGTTAACTAAAGTCCCTGTATTTTTTAGCCAGACTATAAAATGGCTGACCCCATCTGCACATTTGTCTTTTCCATCCTGGTTTTGGCCAGCACCATCACTGTCTTAAAGGACTTCTCCATCTTACTCATGGAAGGTAGGAGTGATTTTATTATTATTTCCAGGATCAATGTTTTTTCTTCCCTATAATCACAGCAGGGGAGGTATCGAGGCACGTTCACTGTTAATTTGCATTCTAAGGAAAATATAAATTTATAAGGAGTTTTTGTGAAAACAGATATTAGTATTTTTATTCATATGGGAACAAATAAAAAGAGCTGGTTTCTCTTTTTTCCTCCAGCAACTATTAAATGATATGGCACGGTATAAAAATGATACGTACAAATACTAAGGACAGACACTGAAGGAGATATTGCGAAAATAGAAATTTCTCCCTAAATATATGGAAAAGGCTTAAGAATAATTGGATAATCTATCTCTCAGGCAGCATTATAACTACTATGAAGGGCTTGCCTAAAACCCCTTGTAGACCTGGCTAACAGTCCTTAAACTTCAGTGCAACAGAATCACTTGATGTCTGTTAAGGCTGCTGGGTCCACCCTCATAGTTTCAGAACCAGTAGGTCTGGAGTAGAGCCTAAGAATTAGAATTTTTAACAAGATGCTGACACTGCTGATCCAGGGACCACACTTTGAGAACCACTGGAATAGTCTTTTCATACCACTTAAAGGATTACTACATGAGGGCACTGAGAGTAGCACCTAGAAAATTCAGTCGGAATTAGAGGTTTACATCACATCAAGCATTTGAATGATCAAAAATATCCAGATCTTGGCTTGAACTTTTCTTTTTTGCCCAGAACATTTTGACATAAGGCTAACACAATCTCAGAGTGCAGATGCCTTCACAAAAGCCCACACTTCTTAGTGTTCATTACTGATCACATGTTTAAGGATTTTATCCCATTGGGCACTATAAGTGTTAGAGGATGATAATGTTGACAACAGTGAAACAGAAAAGGGAGTCAAACGTCACTGTGGAACAAGTGGACTTCCTCTCTTTGAAAGTGACAATATTTGGTTTGTTAAGTCACAGATGCATCTATTTCCTTTCTGAGGACTGAGTGCTGAACTGCAGCTGTTCCTAATATGGAACTTTGCTGACTTACAGATGGAGAAAAACAAGTTGGTATACATTGGAGATGAGTATATTCCACTATCTCTGTCTCTTAGTATAGCTCTTCTCAGGTGACTATTTCTTTTTATTTAAGGAAAACGTAGCTAATTATTGAAACTGGCAGGTAACTCCTACGTGGAAAATGCTTAATTTTTAAATTAGGTTTTCAAATTAGGTTAGCATAAAATAATACTTGTACTTAATGAAGTTTTCTAAAAATATGGAATGGTATAAAATTATTAAAAGTTTCCTCATTTTTCCACCTTTGAATTCTCAGTCCCATTCTTCAGAGATAACACCTACTAATAAGTTGATATGTATCTGTCCAAAAATATTTAGGCATTTACATATATATGTGTATATATATATAGTGTGTGTTTTTTATATAAACAGAATTATGCATTGATACATTATTTTGTTCACCTTGATTTCTTCACTTGGAGGTCTTTTCATATTAGCACATACAGAGATACATCTTATTCTTTTTTTTCCTTATTCCTTTTCATGGTATGAAGTATTTCCCTGGATGCATGTACTTACGTATTGATGGACATTATAGATAATGGTGTAATTACCATTCTGTCCATATATTTTTTTTTAATGCTTGAATATCTGTGTCTTAGAAGTGGTATTGCTGTTTCAAAAGTTATGTGAATTTAAAAATTTGATAGATATTGCCATTTCTACCAAACATACCATATCAATTTCTTTCCTGCCAACAGCATCTGAGAATGCCCATTTCCTCACATCCTCACCATCACTGAGTATTATCAGAATGTTGATTCTTTTCTAATCTGACAGGTGAAATATTATATTGTATTGATTCCATATGTAATTCCTTCATTATGAGAGATATTGAGTGATTTTTCATATATTTATTAACCTGGGCAATTATTTTTTAAAGACTAATTTTGGTATTTTCCTGGATGTATTAATACTTTCACAGACTCTCCTTCAGAAAAAAAGACCAAAAAAACAAAAAAACAAAACTCTAGTATATGATGGAGCACTGAAGCCAGTGAGAACATATCCTCTTGCTTGTCAACATTATTTTATACAGTAAAATAGGTAACAGTGAACTTGTATTCTCCATAAAAGTAAAGATATAAGTGAGGCAAGAGGGAAGGGGGTAGTGGGATTGTGATTTCATCTCAAGGGTCCTAGACAATGACAATAGGTCTTAAGAGGATCACATGAAACTCCTCAGAGATGATACATAAGGCATAATCGGCAACTTTGGGTTGCAAGACTTAGACTTCTACCATTTGCATCATGTTTCACGCTCAAACCATGGACTTGAGAATCTGACATCCCCTGTCTCTGTGTAGCCTTAGCAATGGTTCTTAACCTCTCTGACTCCCAATTTCCTCTCCCCCAATTAAATAGGAATTGTGACATTGACATTTAGCTCTTAAAGTTCTTACAAAGGTTAAGTAAGATAAGCACTATGAATGCAGTACTTAGCACAAACCTTGACATATGGCCATTTCTCGGTAAAGATGGGTTATTATCATTACAATAAAACAATGTCGACCATGACTCCATACACATTCTATTTATGACTAATCTAAGAACTCTTGTTTCCAGTGGTCTGAGCTCTATGCAACTCACAGAATAAAAGAACATGTTGACCAGCTCTTTGTTACCTCCACGAAACCATATGAAGTGAGATAAAAAGTAAACTCAAACTGGGATGCCTGGGTGGCTCAGTGGTTGAGTGTCTGCCTTCAGCTCAGGATGTGATCCTGGAGTCCCAGGATAGGGTCCCATATTGGGCTCCCCATGGGGAGCCTGCTTCTCCCTCTGCCTGTCATTCTATGTCTCTGCCTCTCTGTGTCTCCCATGAATAAAATAAATAAAATCTTAAAAAAAATAAACTCAAACTATAGAGAATTTTAATATTAGCTTTAAGATGGAAATCTCCATGAGTAAGCCTTTTAAATCCTGAAAAAGGAGGATTAAGGATTTCTTATTCCTTTAAGTAAGTTGTTCTTGACTCGCTGCTCATTACAATCGTTTGGGAAGCTTTTAAAAATACTTATGCACAGGCCTCATACCCAGAGATTCTGATTTAATTGACTCAGTTTGGGGCCGGTTTTGATGTTTTTTTTTTTTTGTTTTGTTTTTTTGTTTTTTTGACATGCAAGCAAACTTGAGAACTACTGCAAGGTAGGGCTGCCCAGTGGTTTGTTAATGTCAGTGCAATGGTTCTCAATCTTGGCTGTGTGTTAGAATCACCAAATGAGCTATAAACATACTGATGCTTCATCTTATCCCCAGAGGGTCTAATTTAATTGGTCCTGGGTGTAACCTGGTAATCAGGATTTCTAAAATCTCTTCTGAGGATACTAATATGCATTCAAGGTGGAGAGCCACTTTGAAAGCATGTCAATTTCAGAGCCTTATCCATAGAAATTTTCTTCAGAAGGACTGGAATGGAGCTAAGGCATTTTTAACAAACACACCAGGTGTTTGTGTTGTGTATATATGATTGAAGTAGGAGCTAAAAGGTGGTCATCCTTAGAAATCTGTTCTACAGCATCCTCTTTGGGTCATCGTTAGTTGGCATGGATTTAATTATTGCCTCAAGTGGCTTTATCATTGTTATGCTGGTTGAGTTGATTAAAAAAACTTATATTAAACTAATGTGTTTTACAATTCTAACCAACCATTAGCTTGCCTTCTTCTCTCTGCCAGAGCAAAGACCCTTACACTTTCATAGCCTCTCATCTTCCAAATGGCAATCCTTGCAATATTTGAAAAAAGTGATCGATCCTTCTGCCCTCAGCTTTCACTTTTTATTTCCTTTTTTCCCCTAAGGTTTTATTTATTTATTTATGAGAGACACACAGAGAGAGGCAGAGACATAGGCAGAAGGAGAAGCAGGCTCGCTGTGGGGGACTATTGCAAGACTCGATCTCAGGACCCCAGGATCTGACCTGAGCCAAAGGCAGACACTCAACCACTGAGCCACCCAAGAGCCCTGAGCTTTCACTTCTTCAAGCTAGAGAAATCCCAGTTCCCTCAGCCTGAAAGAATAGCTGATTGGCTGAAAGCATCCCTACCTTCCTGTATGCCCCCACACCATTCCTTTGGAATCAAGAAAGATGTCAAACTTTGACATTATATGACCCAGTCATTAAACCCTGAGTAATGTACCTAGATCAATAAAAATTCTATAAACCGAATAAGATGGCATTACAATGTTAGAATCACCTATTAACACGGTTCAGTAAGTGACCTATTGCAGAACTCCTATTTACATAGCATTGTAGTGTACAAAGAGCAGAAATTTTCCCATTTGCTCCTCAAAGAACTCAGTATACATACTGCTTTTACTGTCCCTATTTTACCATAGATCTTCTGAGGATCAGAGAAGTTCCAAGATTTGGGTAAATTCATGGTAGTTGTGGTCAGAATGCTAACCCAGAATTATTTCATAACAAGTCCCATGTTTCCATGTTTCTTCATTTTGGTTTCTAGAGTGTATGCAAAGATAGTAGATATCTAGTTATTAAGATAACTTAAGATAGTTATTAAGATAACTTAATAGTAGATAGTAGAAAAAACTTAATTGGTTTAATAACACACCCCGAAAACAGAGAATGATTGCTATTGTTGGTTATTGCATGGTAAATTTTGCAAACATTCTTTGATGTGAAACCCTTTGACACAGTCAAGTGAATCTGATTTGTAAACATCTGAAGTAAGAAACCAGAAAAGAGGAGGGCAAGTTGAAATTCTGGAGAAGATTTTGCAGCCCCATTTAGCCATGTGGATGAGCTATATTTAGTTAAATAACAAACAGCCTCCCTCTCCTTCCTCTTGTTAGGTGTACCTAAGAACCTGAATTACAGTGATGTGAAAGAGCTCATCTTAGCTGTGGATGGTGTGGTGTCTGTGCACAGCTTGCACATCTGGTCTCTAGCAATGAACCAAGTGATTCTCTCAGCTCATGTTGCTGCAGGTCAGTGAGTTTTGTAAACACCCTGCCAAAATTCAGCCCTTGTCCTGTAAACTCAATAATTTCCCTCCTTTTTGTAGAGCTTCTCTTTAGTGTCTATTGCCTGTCAAAACAACTGTAAAGTGTTTCCTATTACCAAAGGCCTTTGAAAACACCCCTTGTCAATGTTATCGTAGCAACAATGATACTGAAAACATCCCTTTGAGGCAGACTGCAGAGGGTAGAGGGTAGAACAAATGGTTTAAATGCCACCCAAACTTCAAAGCCTTAAACTCTGAAAATTGGATCTCACCTGTCTGATTTGGTGCCCAATCAGTTAAATAATGGGATGAATTCAGCAATAAATGCTCATTGAATAGCTCCTGGTCTAAGGTGCTCTATCACTGAAGATAAAAAATGAAGGGACATAGGTCTCATCCTTAAGATTCTAACAAGCTAAAAGATGCTCTAGCAGGGATTAATTAATGGTAGTTCTCCCACTGGATGGTTAGAAATTCTGTACCATGTGAGATAATTCTTAGGGTGTTGGATTCTAAAAACTTTCCTAAATAGAAGGTGATTCACACATTATGTGTCCTTGGGCTGGGGAAACAGGCTGTGGGGGGAGGGGGGGAGGATCTCTCACTGCCTCAGGAGACAGCTCAGGCAAAATGATACGTCAGGCAGCTAAAAAATAACTCAAGAAGTTATTTAGAGGCAGGCAGGCTACAGCAACAACAGCGACAGGCATTTGAGGGTTAGGCTTAGACATCCTCATCTTTGCTGAGAATCTCAGATCTGGCTACAGGTGATTTATAGCATCCACTACACCAATATTTTACTGCAGATGGAAGAATCTAGTAAACAGGTTGCTATTGGGGGGAGAGGGCCTTACAGCCTCCTGATACTTTTTGGGACAAGAGAAAAATGGCAGTAAGGTTGCTGCTCTAGGAGGAGTCTGTGGGGAGCTCTAAATGCTTCCGGATTCCTTTCACTAGCCTTGATATAAATGCTGATTAGATACAAGAGCTGCAACCCAAAGACCTCTGGGGACTGGCGGAAAGGGCTATATGAGAAAGAAAGAGCTTTGTCTTAGCTTTCTTCAGGCCTTATCTCCCCTTCCATGCTCAGCTTCTAAGCACGCCAGACCCCAAGAGAACTGTGGGCAGGAAGAGTTCCCATAGTGATGAGTACTTTGCTGCACCAGAATTTCCCCTGTCTTGTCTGTGTGAATGTAACTGATTGTCAGAGCCAACGTGGCTTCTTCTGAGTGCTTTTCTTGTGCCCCTCCCCACCAGGTCAAAGACAAAGTACTTGAAGCTGGAAATTTAGCAGTCACCCATGTGTGTGCAATCAGTGCCAATCTCACTGTGGTTCTTTCTCAACAGCAGCCAGCCGTGACAGCCAGGTTGTTCGGAGAGAGATTGTTAAAGCCCTCAGCAATAGCTTTACTGTGCACTCGCTCACCATTCAGATGGAATCTCCAGCTGACCAGGACCCCAACTGCTTTTTCTGTGAAGACCCCCGGGACTAGTTCAGTCACAATGTCAACTTCCCAGGTTTGATGGGCCACTATATGCTGCTCTGCAGTTTCTAGAACCTAAGAAATAAAGTACCAAAGGAAGAAGTTTGAGAAATTCATGACACAGTACAGTGCACATTATATCCTTCTTTTTTTAGTCCGTCCACCATAAATGAAAATGCATTTAGATTCATCAGCCAATTGGATTATCAACTCATCAGTAGCTGTGTTCAATTACAGGAATGTGTGTAGTCTTATTCCTGACTGGGACTGAAATAAAAGCTGTTTGTAACCATAGGCAATAAAAAGTTCCTCTCCATTCAATAATGTATCCTGAGTGGGTAAAATTGAACTCAGGAAACTCTTATTGGGAATTGGTGCCAAGGAAAGTCACAAAATTCTCTGAAAACATGAGAAGCAAAATAAGAAGAGCCAAGCAAGGTTAAAAGAGATCTGGAAACTTAACACCCCACCATAATTTGACTCTCTTAGCAAGTTATAATATTATTTGGAGCAGAATCTTGTCTCTCCCTAACCATATCACTATTTACTAAATGGGGTAGAAATGTCCTTTTTCCTTATCAATTACAAATTATGTTTTAATATGCCTAAAACTATTGAGTGACATTTTACTTTCTGTATAAAAGCTCTGGACAAATGAAAAAATATGAAATTGTTGCTTTTTGAGTGTTTTCATATGGTATGACCTAATAATAAAACAGAAGCACAGAGCATCAGAATTCTTATCTCAGGTCACATGGAAAATAATTTTTTCAAAGAGTCAAAGAATTGAGAACTTCCAGATCTTGAATAATATTTATGGAGTCCCAGCTATTGTCCAGGTATTGCACTAGGCTATTTAGATATGTCACCTCATTTCATTTGAATGACAACTTTGGGAAAGTTGGAATTAATACCATCATTGTATAGATAAGGACACAGGCTCACAGAGGTTAAGTAATGTAACCAATGTCATTTATTCATTCATTCAAAAATAGTTTGTCGATGCAGGCTATGAGCTGAGTATTGGTGAACTATGTCAATACGGCCTTTGTGTTCATGGAGCTATTTCCCTTTTGTTGGGGAGACAAGCATTCCACCAATAAATACCAAGAATGTACTACAAATAGTGGTAAGTGAGAAAGAGGAGAGGCTGGTTTAGATTGGGAGAGGTCGATGGACAGCCTCTCTGAAGAAATAGCATTCAAGTTGAGACCTGAATAGAAAACTAGGTGATAGCCAGATGAATTTAGGAGGAAGTACATTCTAGAAGAACCAAGAGCATGAATGGGCACCATGAAAAAAGAACTTGGTACATGGGAGGAAATGAGGAAGGCCCTTGTGGTTGAGGGTACTGAGGGGTGAGTTAAAAAAACATGGAGGACATGAGGGAAGAGAGATGAGCGAGTCCATTTGGCAAAGTAAGATTCTCTCATTCAGAGTCATTGATTGTATAATTCCATGCTTCTAGCACTGATTGTAACTCATCACCTGTAGAAAGTAAAGTAAAATAAAGAAGTATAGGCCTACACCCTGGAAATCCTGATTTAATGGGTATGGTTTGGAACCTAAACTTCTGTTTTTTTTTTTTTTGTTTTTGTTTTTGTTTTGTTTTTAACACATCCAGAGATATTCTAAAGAATAGCTGGAGTCTAAAAGAACTTCAACCACAGAAGATCATTGAGTGGGGGATTCAGACACATATCCAGACACCTACAGTAATATATTGAATTGCAAACATGTGGATGGGGTCTAAAGGGGCATTGCCATGTGGGCATAGCCACTGAGGCTTCATGTTATTGAGGAGATAGTCATGCTGGACTTTGACTTATATCTGAGATTTGTCTAGACAGATGAAGAAAAGGGCATTCTAGATAAAGGGAAGACTATATAGAAGGTATACTCATGTTTACCTCTTAATTTTTTTCTAATTTTTTTTATTTATTTATGATAGAGAGAGAGAGAGAGAGAGAGAGAGAGAGAGAGAGAGAGAAAGAGAGGCAGAGACACAGGCAGAGGGAGAAGCAGGCTCCATGCACCAGGAGCCCGACGTGGGATTCGATCCCCGGTCTCCAGGATCGTGCCCTGGGCCAAAGCAGGCGCTAAACCGCTGCGCCACCCAGGGATCCCTACCTCTTAATTTTCAAAAAATATTTACTTATTGAGAGAAAAAGATCATGAGGAGGAGGGGCAGAGGGAGAGGGAGAGAGAAACTCAAGCAGACTCCATGCTGAGCATGGAGCCCGATGTGGGGCTCAATCTCATGATCTGAGCCAAAACCAAGTGTTGAATGCTTAACCGACTGTGCCACCCAAGCACCCCTACCTGTTGATTTTTAATTTGAAAGCAGAATATATGTGGCAAAGGAAATGTTCAACTCTGATTTTTAAAACTATATAATTTTAACATTGCCATTATTAATTTTGTAGAAAAGTTATGTCTTTGATGATTTTTATGTCATTGTCAGCATCCAGCAGGGTGCTGGAAACCTACCAGGCATTAAATAATTGTTGAGGCAATGACTCTGGGGCTATGTGTGGGTCCTGTCATTATTTTTCATTTATATTTGTATTTTTCTGAAATTTTGAGGGCCAAGAAAACATCGACTTTGACGGAGGAGGTCACATCTGTGCCATCTCTGCAAATCAATCAGCACTGCCGAAATCACTACTTAGCATTCTGCTGACAAATAGACTTGTCCCCCACCTCAGTAAGCACGTTTAGGCAACCAGAATTAGAGCCACTCAGGTTACTAATGTGTCCTGCCTCAGCTGGCTCTTAAAATGGCAGGGATAGTTCATGTCAAATCATTTCTCCTGTCTCAAAGGCTGTTGAATGGTTTTGCTTTTCCATATTTTGTGTAGGATAGAGCCCTTAAGACCTGGAAAGCACACAAGTTCTAGGGTAACTGCTTTCTTTTTAAAATCACACTTATCTTTTATTTTAATGCCAGGAACATACTAAATGCCAGGTAAACATAATCCCCCAGGTAGGGGGATCTGTACATCAACCAAAGGAATTGCCCCATGGCCCCCTAACCATTTCTGCTGCTTCCCTGAATTTCTACCTCTTTTGTCGGCTAGATTGACAACTCTGGACTGTAGATGTTTGGGGGATAAAGTGCAATACAATCTGCAATGGGGATTTTTAGGATTTGAAGGTAAAAGAGCAGATGACACCAAGGGAACTTTATGCACCATGTATCAATTTTGAAATTTGGCTTCCCCCTTTGCCTCTTCCCTGGAGTCCAGGATCGTGAACTCCAGGTTGTTGACATTCCTGGAGTAGCATAGCAGAATTCTTTACTTTGTGGCCTTGTAGTCTTTCCGGCTATCAAAACATCCTTCACATCATTCAAAGAAACACACTTTATTCTCCACAGTCTTGAAATCAGGCCAACTTCATTGCCACCCTCCATCCTTCATATGCTTCTCTGTCATCCAGCACCCAGTCAAGATTTATCTAGGACTCTATGGTGATGTTAGGGCCCATAAAAGAAATTGATGTGTTCCATATGTTTGGTTACAGATGGGAAATGGGAATGTTCAAGGACATGAGGAAGAGAATGTTTGCACTTTGAACATCACATTTGTAGTTAGATTGCTTGAGTTTGAATCTTAGTTCTTGCGTTTATTAGCTCTGTGACCTCGAGCGAGGTACTTAAATGCTCTGTCCCTCTGTCTCCGGATCAGTAAAAGCTCCCCATTCAGATGTATGAGAATTTAATATATTAGGACACTTAAAGATGTTGGATTTGTACAGAGTATGTGGTTAGCACTCAGTAAATCTTAACTTTTACTGATATGTGAAGTGAGTGCATACGTATGTGTGCACCAACACAGACATTTATATCATCCCTACTTTTAAAAGGTTTTGAGTCTTCGACACAACTTCCACAAGACAGTGGCAGAATTTTTGGTGAGAATTGAACAACTCTTTCTCTCATGGAGCCCTGGAGGCCTGCTGAGATAAAGACATCTACTGAGAGCACTGCCTAGTGCATGAGGCACGGATTCATTAAAATAGTTAAGTCCCATTCTGACACACTCTGTCAATTTCTACTTTTATCTTTAAAGTAAATGCCAAGTTAGTCACTTCGTGTACACTTATTAACAAAGTACAGCCGTCCATTTCAAGAAGGCAGAGCCATGGTTCTCCCAATCATCTTCCCTGGCTCCTGTGAAGGATCCCTTCCTTGGTTTTTCTCTTTCTCTCCTAGCCACAGCTTACTCTAACCTGGTGTGTTTCCTTCTTCTGGTTTGTAAATTGTCATTGTCACAGAGGCACCATTTCCTTACCTGTTAAATTTTGCAGAGGCAACAAAAGGCCTTTAGCACTCAGATGTCCAAAAAAAACACCTGGCATATACATTTTATAGATTCTTGGAGAATGTGGCTTTCCAGCTCCAGGTCCACCTGGTGAACTATGGGCCAGAGAATTTTGCACAGAGACAAGCCTCATTTTCCACAATTAGCTTTAAAGTACCTTCAGGAAATGATTTTCTCAGCTCATCTCCCTGCCTTCCCTGATTTGGATCACAGGGCAATCTGTTTAAATGACTAATTACAGAAATCATTAAAGGCAAATGTCTTTGAATACCCATATCCCAAGTTTTACAAGTCCTGCTTGATGTGACAGTGATGAAACCACTTAATAGTCCAGCACAGGCGGATATTTAAAAAAAAAAAAAAAGGTGACCATATGTGGCTCAGATTCCTAACTTTCAGATTTCACACTTAACGTTTGTCATTCTGTTACTGGGCACCTGTTAAAATTCTATTTTAAAATGTTAATGTATGTTGTTTAGAAAAAAATCAGGGAAAAGGGAAAGTTTGGGTTAAGTCATCATCTTTTTATCACTAAAATCATGGCAGAAAATGTTTCTCATAACACCAATCAGGAGTGTAATAAGAATATACTCTTCCACTCTCAATCTTTTATCAGAAGAAAGAACCCATTGAGGAAGCAGATTAGTCTAAAGGAAATGGAAGATGATTTAAGAATCAGGGATA